AAGAATAAGAATATAAAATAAGAATAAAAAGAAATAAAGAATAAAAGAGAATTATAAAACAAATATAAAGAATGATATGTCAAACAATAAGAAAGAAAAGAATAATATCAAAATGAATAAATAAGAAAAGAATAATAATATAAATGATAATCAATTATAATTTGTTTCTACTTCAAATTATAATGTATTTCATTTATTGTATTTTTATTTCATTCATCAATATTTATCAAAGCAATCTCTTGGTATTCTTTTATTCTTCATTAATTCTTCTTTACATCCACATTTATAAAAACATCCACGTCCAAATAAAGTAATTGGTGATGGTATATTAATTGATGTTAATGATGAACATTCTGAAAAACAATAATTTCCTATTTCATTAATTGATGATGGTATATTAATTGATTTTAATGATGTACAATATTTAAAACAATAATCTCCTAATTTATTAATTGATGATTGTATATTAATTGATTTTAATGATGAGCATTCATAAAAACAATAATCTCCTATTTTAATAATTGATGTTGGAATATTAATTGATGTTAATGATGAACATCCATCAAAACAACAATCTCCTAATTTACTAACAGATGATGGAATATTAATTGATTTTAATGATGAACATTCTTTAAAACAACCATCTCCTATTTTAATAATTGATTTTGGAATATTAATTGATGTTAATGATGTACAATATCTAAAACAACAATCTCCTAATTTACTAATTGATGATGGTATATTAATTGATTTGAACGATAAACATCTATAAAAACATTTATTTCCTATTTCACTTATTGATGATGGTATATTAATTGTTGTTAATAAACGACAATTATAAAAACATTCATATCCAAGTGATTTAACTTCTGATGGTATTGTATTTCCATATTTCTTTCTATCTTCTTCTGTATATTTTATATTTTTATAGATATTTCCTTGTTTTTTTTCAAATAAATATCTCCAATATTCTACTTGATACCATATTACTTGTTTAAATATTTTTCCATCATTAAATATTTCATCATTATAATTATAAATATGAAATGTTTCAATATTAGTAAATAATTTTCTTGAATATTCATCTAATGGAATTGGATTAAAATGAAATCGTTCTATATTTCCTCTAAATCTTTTAACACCCATTTCTAAATTAATAAAATCATTAATATCATTGAAATACATTGATGTTATCATTATTTCATTATATCCTAATTTCATTATTGATTTATTATTTATTAGTTGTTTTTATTAGTTCTTTTATTTTTATATTTTAATTTCTTCTTTTTTATTATTTTATCATCATTCTATTTTTATTAATTGATATTTGTTATGAAAAACAATAAATAATAAGAAATAAAATAAAATGTTAATTATTTTTATTTTTAATAAATTATAATTATTAAATATTTCATTTTATTTTATATTTTATTCATTATCAGATTTGAATGTAGCACGTCAGAGACACCACACACTTCCCTAAAATATTATCATCATTCAAATCTACCAATTATGGACTGATTATAATGTTGTATTTAGTTAGAAAAACATCATAATCAATACGCTAGAATACG